TTATTATTATTATTATTATTGCCAATGTATTGAGAGCTTCACTCTTATTTTATTTTGTTGCATTATACTTTGCAATACCAGTTGTTTTCTGACATTGTCACTTTCAACTTCATTAGAATTAGAAACAACTTTTGTCTGATCCGAGTAACATATTTTAGCACTTACTTTAACAAAAACAAGTCAATAATCAACTAAAGTCCAGTGTAGGATTTAGTGGAATCTAGTGGTGAAGATTCAGATTAACTAACTGAACACTGCTTGTTTGGGACTAAGAATGTGCTGTTAAATGGGTAGCAGAAACTACGTGCAAAACACTAACGCCCCGATCTAGAGCCAGTGTTTGCTTTGTCCATTCTGGGCTACTGTAGAAACACGGTGGTTCAACATGGCGGACAACAACTCTTATTTTCAGTTGATTATACATGTGTTGAATACATACCTATGAATATTATATTCCATTTCAGCCAATAGATCCTCCTAAATGTTACCCACTGGACCTTTGACATTAAAATGCAACATACTGTATAATGACCTTTTATATTACCTGAATCACATAATATATTTTTGTGCAAGCTGATGCTGAATTAAGTTGACCAAAGTACAACACTCCTCATGCCTTGCAGGCCTTATACGCAGACCTCTTCTTTGAATAAGCCCCTTAAATGACTGTACCCACTACTGCCATCAGGAGGCCCCAAACAAACAGACAAATTAACAATAGTGTTATCATATTACAGCAATTTGAAGAATCTGAAAAATGTACAAACCACCTCACTGGGGATTTAATTTAATTTGTTTCTTCCAATCATTTGAGCAGATTCTTGTTCTGCACATTTCCACTTATTTCTTGAAGTGGAAACAGATTTAAAATTCCATTGAAGCTGGTTTGTTCTGTCACCCGCTGCTAATGCCAGCGGTATTATCTGCCAGTATCAATTATAATAATAATCACAATATTAATTAAGCTGTTTCTACTCATAATATTAGGAGTGGGAGGAGTCATAATCTTCTTATGAATGGCTATCATAAGCTGAAACTACAATTTGACCTTCGGTATAAGGGAGAGCACAGATCCTGCCCAAATTGTCAGGATCCTTTGCTGCCTCAAACAAAATGCTAAATCATACATTATTAGACTATAAAGACTTTCAGTTGGTCCTGTCTGCCAGCTGATGTGACTCTATGTGTCTGACATCCCAAATATACTTCTAGCCATTTGTGTGCACTCTTCACTCCCCTCACACGCCTCAGTCCCACACTGCTCTGGAGCTCCGTGCCGTACCGGACAGTGCTGGCCCTTGTCAAACCCAATCTGACACTCACGAGCGTGCACCCGTATGACGTGAGACAGTCCGGCACATGACAAATTTGGCTTTAAAATGACGTCACGGCAGCGTGGGGCTCAGCAGGCAGGTCGTTCGTCAGTCTGAGAGAAGAGGAGCAGCAGGAGACGGAGCAGCCTCCCTCTCTCCTCTCTGATGACAAGCTCTCATTCCCCCTCTCTCCAACTCCTCAGAAACAACTCTCAGCCTCCAGGACTCTCCTTCGCCTCGCTTTCCCCCCCTCCCTTTCTTCCTTTTTTCAGTTGCACCTCGTTTTTATTTTTTAACTTTTGTCTAACCCCTCCGCGCCTCTCAACACCTCCAGAGATGTGAGTAGATAATGAGGACCCCCTGCCAGCGGTGACTTGTCTCCTGCGTGCTTCAGAGAGCCGAACATCCTCATCTTCCACACACCCTCCCCCCCCACCACCAATTTCTTTTTTTTGGACGCTCATCTGCCTTTCAACAATGTAGGAGAAGGTGCGCTGTCATTTCAGCGACGAGGATGCCAACTACATGCCTTGTTTTATGCTCTCCGCAGCTTACATCTTTGTCTCTCCGGCCGGGGAGGGGGGAATGAAAGATCTGCGTGAAGGCAAAGTTTGAGGGTACCTCTCCTTTTGGTTTCCCGCTCACCTGTCCGCCTGCACGCGCGTACCCCCCTTCTCCTTTGAACTGACAAGGAGGAAGATTGTCGCCAAAAGAACAATTGACGAGCAACTTAAAAGAGACCTGACTGTTGTGGTGGTTCTTTCTTTAGTGGGATTTGGCAGCGCTGTTGGAGGAATTTGATGTGCGCAACGTTGGAGGATATGGCTTAAATAATGGTTGCGTTACTGACAGCCGGAGTAAGGTCCGTCACTTGAGTGTTTTTATCAGCTATTGTCGACTTTGGTGGAAACCCATCTAAATGGGAGGATACCTGGAGGACTGAGTCGGATTCGGCAGTCGAGAAAAAAATGTGGATAAAACGGAGTGTTGCGCGCAGGTAAGACACGAACAATTTCATTTCATGTTCTAGTAATTTCACTGTAATGGAGAAAATGCTTGGGAGAACCGAGAAACACCGACATTGTTTTACGGTGTTGCACGTTTAACGGCGCCGCTCGATAACACGTCTCAGTTTTTTAATCTACGCCACTGCAAGTTATGAGAGAGTGCTGGAATTGATGAGTGGATTATATGTATCAATAGGTCTGTACACACAAAAGAAAACACGCAAATGTAGCTCCTCTTGCGTTAAAGTTCCTCACAGACACCGGCTATTTTCTGTTGCGGTGTTGACACTGAGGAATGGCGAGCCGGAGGCTTTATATGGATCATGTTTTGTGATGTTTAAAAAGGAAGAATATGATCGAGAATTTCACGTCCCGTACGCTGGGGGTCGCCAACAGTACGGCGCAAGCAACACACATACACTCACAGGCACACGCGCGCGCGCTCCAAACGCACGTGTGCAGACGCACGCGCGCACGCAGCCTCAAGGTTAGGTCTGTCAGCTCCTCCACACTGGTGAGCACGAGCACGTGCACGCGCATTAGTTGGGAAATCGTAGGTCAAATTTATAATGAATCATGTGTTTAGAGATAGATGTCTTTATGGGGTTGTGATTAAATGAATAACAGTGATACTGAGTCACATTGAGGTTTTTTCTCTCCCCCCCCAAAAAAAATGGAAGTAGTGGGTGTATGTACTGAGTAGAGGAGAGGATGGCATGTAGACTGCCTGGATGGAGAGGTAAGCTTTCCCTTACTCCTCCCAATAACAACAACCTTTTTCTAGTTATATATAAAAACAAAAAGAAATTGACACTTTCTTCGCCTTCACGATAACACGCCGTCCCTGAACTGAAGCAGTATGGACACCAGCCGACTGACTTAGTTAGGAAGTCTGCAAACAAAAGCTAAAATTGATCTCATTCATTTGCCGTAAAATAGGTTTAGAGCTAATGACACGCTGTGAAATGAGACCAAACCTGCCAGCGGTGAGATTCTCTTGCCACCTGCTGGATCTCATTCCCACCGGTAGCCCTAATTCCTGCCCATTTGCAGCCGTTCATCTATTATGCATGACACACACTGTACATCTTAGGGCTGACCTCGCAGGGTAATGGCAATACGTGGCGTAAGACAGCACGGTTGTATAAGATGATGACATGGAATGCATTTAGGGTGCCATATCTCTAGATGGATCAGTCAGAGGCACAGAGAAACCAATTTCCATCTTCAGGAATTTTCCAGTCGCTTGCTGACATGATGTGGGACGTTAAAATGGGATGTGGGAAGAACGGCAACTGCTTTTAAGGACTGAAGCCGCTTCATTCACCATGTTCCAGATTTAGTTTGCCATTGCAGGCTAAAAGCTTACATTGTTTGTCATTGTCATTCATTACCAGACAGTGATGGCAATATTTGGTTAAAGCCCTGCTTTCCAGTAGAGGTTGTGTTTAACATTATTATTTGCTTTGGAATAACAAGAAATAGAAATGGACAGTGAGCATGGGCAGAGAAAGACCCTGTACCTGTTGGAGCAGACAAAGAGACAGACCACCTACACACACTTGATATGTGGGCGTAAAGGCAATAGCAGTGACTAGCAAATCTGAAGAGAAGACTAGATGGATGGATACATAAATACATACATTAAAGAATTTTGAGGAAGAGCTGTAGTTACTCTTCATGTAATCTAGGCCAACAGTCTCAGTAAGAAACCCTGTGGACTACAGGTTGGTGTTCCACTATCATCCTGTATAGACTGTAGTGCAGTGGTATGATGTGGTGAACTGTGTGCAGAGTACAAGCAGGAGACAAACATATCTGCAATTAGGTTTGAAGAATGGATGAACTGTTTTTAATTGTCAAACGCCAATGACAAAGAATGGCCACCGTAGATTCGCACAGCTCGATATTGTTCAAATTGTTTCATTTGTCCGACCAACAGTCCAAACATCTTCAGTGTGCAATAATAAAAAAAGAAGAGGGAAGGTGCTCACATTTGTGAAGCTGGAATGAATGAATGTATTGCACTTGATGCAGATTCCTTTAGCAATAACTACCCAGGCACAAAGCTATTACTCCGGATGCAAATCTAAGGAAAAGCAACATTGTGCCAGTAGGTAGATACCAACACCTCTTGTTAGCCGGAATAAAACCAAATGCTCGATTGCCACTTGAATCTGACTCTATTCACTCAAAGCAGTGGTTCTCATACATGTCACTGAAAGAAAATTCATTTAGTTTACATCTAAGATGACGAGTGCCTGTAATGGTGCAGAATTACAACAAGCTCAAACCAGAGAGCATCTCACTTGAGAGTTACCCAGCAGGCATTCATCTCTCCTGGGCTCGGCATCTCCGGGCTCAATCTTTAATGGACGTTGCACAGTTTTGGGTTCCCCGCGGTGAGCTCTCGTACTGCCGAGGCACTGGGGATGCTATCAGGCTTCGGCACACTGCAGCTGCAAAAGAATGGCTGGCAGAGACACCGGTTGCCTTTCAGGAGCGCTTCATTTGCCGGTTTCCACTTGTTTGGTACAGGTGACTGTTCCTACACGTGCCTGTCTTTCTCCTGGCCCAGATCCATTCTCATGGTAAATGGAAAACAGTGACATGTCAAGCGGTCGGCGTGTGAGGTCGACAGTAAGAAAGAGAGAGAAAGGGGCTTCACTGAATCTTCAGCTCAGGAGTGATTTGCTGGTGTTGATGTTTGTGGTGATCATGTGCTTAGTATTTGTTGTCTTATCCCCGCTTAAACATGAAGCCTATTTTGTATCTGAGTAATAGTGTCATTCTTATTAACATCGCTGGCTTAATGAACCAGGGTTCCTGATATATTCTACACTGAGGTCTTTTTCTCTCAGGGTGTTTAAGACCAGTCGGCGTCCTCACAGCTAGCTCTACCAAGAACTCCAATGCTAAACGTGACATTACTGTGTGAGGGGCCATCTGATATTCAGATATTCCTGTGATTTAGGTGCCATCTTAATAGCCTCTATGAGAGTTATTAACTGGGCCTCTCTGGAGCGTGATTAACCTCATTTGCAGTGAAATAGGCTGTGTTGCTTCTCTGAGATCCTGTCCTCTGGAGATTTGTGTGTGTGTGTGAGTGTGCGTGTGTGTGCGTGCGTGTCGTAAACACCCTGTGCTCAGCAGTCTGTTAAATCCAGAAGGACCAGAACAGGTTGTCCCCGTGAAATAGCGTAAGAGATAAAACAGACATGGATGCTGGTTCATCTGACCGTCCTGGAAATACAACTGAGAGAGCAAGACAAGAGAAGAAGAGAGCAGCTTGCTGTTGCTAAGGACAGGGGTGAACCATAAATGACTCGTCACCGACTAGCATAGCAATTAGTGCAGAAGAGGCATGTGCAGAACTGGACCATAACTGCCACCAGAACACATCGCTGCACAGTGGATGTTGGAAATGAGACAACTCCAGCTCATATGGACAGACACACTTGAATGAAAGCTCTGTTAGCCAACCAAGTTTTTCTTTTTGCAAATATTAAATAACTAATAATAATAATACTAAGTCATTGTTGTACAGAGGTGGGCTAACAGCTGATAAAGCAGGTTTTCATGCAGGTTTAACTGTGTGACAGCTTAAGTTGGTCAAATCTTAATGATGATCCTTTGAGATGATCAGAGTTTGACACTGGAAGGATGTTTTCACATTCATGGGGCTGGGTACCGAACTGCTACCTTTATGGCCCTTTATACTACCGAGTTTTAAAAAATGGCGTCAGAATCATCAGCGTCAGTGTGCCAAGAAGCAAAATCTAACTTATCTTTGACAGTATTTTGTATCCAGTACTGTAGTTCGACAGATATTCACTTTTATTTCCTCATTAAATTAAATCAAATTATGAGAATGCATCTTGCTGTCTTTTTCTCCATTTACATGACACTCACATGCTTCCTCTGAGCTATTTGACTCTTTTGTCACCCGTTTCTTCCTGAACTGAAAATCAACACATTTGGACCTCAAGTGCAAGTTCCCACCATAGTGCCAGCATCCCTCAGCCTGATGGGGTTTAATGAGCAGCTTGTCCAGTTTGGGCTCCATGAGAAAGTGTGTGTTTCTACTGCACTGAAGCACATCCATCCTACAGAGTGAAGGAACTAACAGGCACGGAGCTCATACTTGATTCATGTAGTGAGCTTTTCCTGGATCAATACTGCCTCTACAAAGGATCAGATTTATCCGTCATGGCCCTTCCCACTAACTGGGCATCTCCAGGCGCGCGGGGGGGGGGCTCTCAGTGGGCCACTTTCTACTAAAATACTTACTCATAAATGAACAACACAAATCCCCCATGCCAACACACACACACACACACACTCTCTCTCTTTATATAGTTCTCAGCTCGTCAGTGGGTTGGCTTAGGCTGAAATGTAACTTTGACAGTGAGGGGCCGAGTTGATTGAAGTGTTGTCTTGTTTGTCTTGCCCTTTATTTTCTTTTTCCACCCAATTCCCATGCTCTTTACCGCCCCGCTCATCTTTCTGAGCATGTGGGTCATGCACACTGTAGTGGAGGACATTGTGCAGTGGGAGTAATTAATGGGATGATGCAACACCCTTGGTTGCATCTTAGACCCCCTCAGAACCACACACACTCCACCTAACCCACCCTACCCTTTCTATTTTTTGCTTGTTTTCCTCTATGAATTATGTTCCAGCCTCAGCAATGCAACAAGGTTTTTTAAACTACAACCACAGCAGCAGCTGCGGCAGCTCAGCCTTACAGGCATGGATAGAGAGTGTGTGTGTGTGTGTGTGTGTGTGTGTGCTACCAAAACATGTGGAAGATTTCATAGAAAATTTGCCTCCCAGAGGCCCGCTGCACAGAGGCAATCCATAAATCTCTGGAACTCTTTGGAGAGCCAACTGTGGTATTTATCTCCCTAATACAGGATATCTACTGAGGAGAGCTTAACTCCTACACCTCAGAGCCTGCATTTTTCAAAGCTACACAGCCACATGCAGC